TGTGAGAGTGTTCAGCTGAAGGTCCCTCATAACCTCATAAATACTTGAATTATTGACCCTTTTTTGTTTCAGTATAACATTAATTAATTCAAAGATCTTTTCATTGTTAAATCCATCCATCCATCCATCCATCCATCCATTTATCCATCCATCCATCCATCCATCCATCCATTCATTATCCTTACCTGCTTCTTCCTTTTTTTGGGTCATGGGGGTCGCTGGTGTCCATATCCACATGTCACTGTGTGAGAGGAGGGGGACACCCTGGACAGGTCTCCAGTCCATCACAGGGACACATAAACGAGACAAACAACCATTCACTCTCTCATTCACACCTAGAGACAATTTAGAGTTACCAATCACCCTAACATGCATGTTTTTGGTCTGTGGGAGGAAACCGGAGTACCTGGAGAAAACACACTCATGCACAGAGAGAACATGCAAACTTCAACCAGGTTGGCCCCCGGCTGGGATTCGATCCAGCGACCTTCTCATTGAGAGGCAACAGCTCTACCATCTGCTCCGCCGTGCCGTTCCATTGTTAAATTATTTATGAAAAAGTTCTAGTGGAAGAAACATTTGTGTGTATTTTGTGGAGTAAAGTCTGCCTCCCTGTTTAAACTGTGCAGCTTCAGAGGAGGCTTCTGTAAGTTTCCATTTTGTTTAGCATTTGAAATTGATTATTTGGTTGTAAATGTCTTCACATCAATGATTTACAGTAATATTTTTATTTCTATACGTTTAATTTGACTCATTCAGCCTCCTTAAGTCTTTTAATCTCACCCAGGAGCTGAGCATGAAATTCTGGGTATGAACCATCCTGCTGGGCCCCGTGCTCACAAAATCCAGACATCTCATGTATTTTCAAAACTCTTTCCATTCCAGACTTTTAGATGGACCCTCCGTGCAGTGGGCCCTGAGTAAACAGTATGACCCCCCACTTCTGATCCCACCTGACAGTTTATATCCACCCAGAGTCTGTAACAGATGTTCCAGAGGTTCTGTTACTCAGATCGTTTATGTGTCTCACAGGGCAGGCAAAGGACAGGAACCAAAGGAGGGACCTGCTGCTCCCCTTCAGCTCGAAACTGGAAGTCTGTAACTATTTACAAGAGCAGAATCGCTTTTCTTTTGTGAATAAATATTAAGTCTTTTTAAAAAATTAAAAAACTGTAGATCACAAGTAAATAAAAAATCAGATTACTACGAGTTTACATTCAGTTCTCTGGAAGTCGAAACCAAATAAATTAACATTAAATGGTCTGATCGTTTTTCTTTAATCATTTTTATTTATTTGTCTGTTCTGATGATGCTGTAAGGTCTTTTTGTCGTCATCCTCAGTCCAAAAATATTTAAACAATTTTTTTTTCATCAGATGTTCTTTCAGCTCCGCATTTTCTTTTTTCAGTTTAAATCTCTGAACAAAGCTTTTATTTTTAAACTACAGTTAAACTTTATAGTCTTAAAAAATTTGAACATGTTACTGGAGTCAAACAGATTTTTTTTTTTTAACCACAAAATTATTAACTGTAAATTAAATAGATCACATAAACAACAACAACAGCACATAAACCACTCTGAGAATGAGATAAAAACACATTCATTGCTGCTCTTATTATAAAATGTGTAATTATTGATATTTCGGTCTTATTTCACATTTTTTCACATCACATACTGAGTTAATTTATGATTGTTTTTGGCTTTTGGAATGAATATTTCCACTTCAGGAAAAAATATCATGTAAATTCCCTTTAGTCGCACATTGATTTGTTTTAAAATTAACATGTTTTCATCATCTACACATTCTAAGAAGGCCAAAATAACCCTAATTGAAGGAATAACTAAATGAATATAAGACCAGTCCCTTCCCCCCACCGTTTGTTGTTTCAACCAGCTCTTCTTGCTTCTCGGGGTGCAGGAGGCCCAGATCTGGGCTGTGTGTGCAGCGGCGCTCTGCGCAGTGAGAAAAGGCTTGTAGGATGCATTAAATCAACCTGATTAGAAAGTGGAGGCGATGGCGAGGCTCAGGTCTGACTGAAATGCCGCCGGGCAGCCCCTTGAGTGATACTATTCACATCCTGGGAGAGAGGTCAGTGTCAGAGGAGTTCACAGGCCCCCGTCTCCATTCTCATGCAAAATGACCACGCACTGATTCACTGGCTGACATGAACAGCTCCTGTGACGCCTTCGTTCCCTCCAAAATGTTTGAATATTAGCCCAAGCTGTTCGGTCTCTGTTTTTTTTCCCCTCTAAATGAGCTCAATTTTGACGCAAGATTATTGATTAAAAAAAATAAAAAGATCCTTAAAAAATAACAATCAATTTGTATTTATTCTTAGAAAAAGTGCTTGACTTGTATATTTTATTCTGGATTATTTCTTGAATTAACCTCTTTTACACAGACTCCTTCATGCACTTCTATGTTTCTGTGTGAGTCCGGTGGTCACTTGGGAAAAGGAGGAAATAGCCACTTAATTAGCTGCCCTTGACCCTTAGCTTGTGGCTCAGAGTGCTCCTGACCCCTGCATCACTCCGGCCTGCTTATTGTCCTCTGGGGAACTGTCCGCATCGTGACCCCTGACCCCCTGCCGACCAAAGGCTTCACTTTCAGGTCCCTGACCGGCTGGCCCACTTCAACAAGACGCTCATCAAAAAGCAATGTTTACCCTGAGCAATTACCTCCTCTGAAGGATGATAGCTGCTATAATTAGTGCTGCTGGAGCTCTTTTCATGTTTGTTGGACATGAAAACGCACATATATGAATATTAAAAAAGCTCGCAGGGTAGAACCAACACAACAGTTTTCCTTAATGATGAAATTCACACCCGTGGAACGGTTTTTGCAACATTGTGTGAATATTTGGGCTTCCCCTCTGTCCAGGCTCTACACAGGCTGATTTCACTAATTGGTTTCCTTTCATCCAGAGAGGGGAACTAATCACCAAAATCAGCCTCTGTGCAGAGTTTAGATGGATTGAAAACACGCCGACTCCTGCAAGGAGCTCAGTGGGTGAGAACGACGTGGCTGTCGGTGGGAGATTTTAGATTTAAGGAACTGGAACAAACACAAGTTGTTCATACTCAAATGACTGAAAAGAGGTATTTCTTTCCTTTAATGCAACTTTTGTGTTCTTTGCTTTCTCTGTTTTTTAAACATTGCGTGCACTACATAAATTCCTCTAGTCTAAATTTGCTCACACTGTGAATAATTTTTGCAAAACATGTGACTAAAAAGTTGGTACCACTTTGCATCTAAGGCTCCCCTTATAGATAGCTAATAAATAGTTTACAGATACGTTATTAATTCCTCTATAAACACTTTATAAATCATAAATAACTGCTTATTATGCATTAATTAAGGGTGACAGAAAACTGACCAGTTTGTTGCCAAATAGTGAGCCAAATATGTTCACCTATATATTTCATCTAAAGTTGTTTTATTAAACAGTTCAGACTAAGTTGTAAACACAATAAGCATTTAAACCTATTTTTTAGCATATAATATTGTACTTTATCTATTTATTTATTTATTTATTTTATTTTATTGTACTTTATACTGCATTATAAGTACCTACCACTAATAATATATGCTAAAGAAAACTGTGCTTACAAGGTAGTAACTTAGTCTGAAATGTTTAATATAACAACTCTAGATGAAATATATAGGTGAACAGATTTGGCTCACTATTTGGCAACAAACCGATCAGTTTTGTCTCTCTGTCACCCGTAATTAATTCATAACAAGCAGTTATTAATGATTTATAAAGTGTTTATTGAGGAATTAATAACATATCTATAAACTATTTATTAGATATCTATAAGGGGGCCTTATTGTAAAGTGGTACCAAAAAGTCTTCTTATTGATGAGTTGGACTATTAAACATTTTGGAGGCAGATTTCACAATAAAATAAATCTTATGAGTTATATTTCAAACACCATAAATTGTAGTAACACGAGTTTTTGTTAGTTGAGTTTGGTTATTTGAACACTATAATAAAAGGAAGATTGTTTTTTTCTCATAATTTAAAAAATATATAACCATTTGCACTCAGTATAATTAAAGATATTACTGTGAAGACACAACAGTCACGATTTGTTGGTTAAATTTCACATTTTTTGTCCCGAGTTGTGACAAACTGACACGTCTGATTGTTTTCTGACACTTCGTAGTGTTTTGCTTGTTTCGACACAATGAGACAGAAATAATCCCCCGTTGACCCCGCCGAGCGTGCGCGTGTCCATCTGTTGTTTGACTCCGGACGCAGGTCAGTCAGACTCAGACTGGTCCGACTGGCTGCAGGACAACCTGCAATCCTACAACCAATCTCAGAACTGGGCCCTGAGTGGCACATTTAAAGAGTCAAAATACATATCAGAATGGAAAATACTCGTTTTAATTCCTGATTCTTTAGACATTAACTCCATTTGACTGTTATCAGAGCAAAAATATCCCCAATTTGTAGCTTAAAGGCAAAAGAACGTTGTTACATCACATATCACTGGTGATTTTGTGCTCAGAGTTTTGCAGCTGACGACTTTTCCTTTGCCTCAGTGATTCAGCACACGTTGCTCTGTCTGCTCCCCCTAATTAAAACTTAATGAGGGGTCACTCAAACACTTTCTCACACCACCCTCATGCACATTACCATGTGAATCTCCCCATGTAGAAAGAAAAAAGAGAGCAAGTTCTGGAATACTCAACACAGAAGCATTAGTTTAGGCTTCTTTTTTGAAAAATGTCATTAAGAATAAATAAATTCTTTTTTTGTTTTTTTTAGCTGGTTAGCGATAGAAGACTCTTGGACTGTTTGTTTAAATTAAAACACCCGTTAATGTCTGATGGATCAGCAACAGAAAGCTTAGAAATCAGCTCAACGACGAAATTATAGTTCCATGCTTTTATTGCACCGAAGAAAAACTGAAAGCATTTTGTTATAAATTTTGAACATTTATATTTTATCCTTTTTACTGCACAAGAAAGAAATGTTAATCACCTACAAAAAAAATGCTAACGTTAATTAGCTGCAATGGATTTTTGCATGCAATAAAAATGCAAGTATATTTATCCAGATTTGTGCAGTCACATGCTTCATTTGTTTAGACACGAGAAGTTTCTCAGACGACACATCGTGAGATTTTATAATCTTTTCAGTCCATGAGAGTCCTGTGTGTCTGATGAGGGCCTTCCTTTGGGTTTGGTTCTCGACCTCTTTGAGTTCTTGTCCCGCTCTGAAGGAAAAAGAAAAGAGGGAATAATTAGCATGCAAATCAATAATCCATTGACTCTTCCACTCTGCAAAGATGAAATCGTGATTCATATTTTTTGGGGGGAAAAAGGAACAAATTTAAAATAAATTGAAAAATTTTTCTTTTGGAATAAATCACATTTTAGATCCAGTGCATTAAAAATGAGGCAAAAAATAATACAAAGCTTTTTTTGTAAGTAATATAATTAATTTAGGAGCTTAATAGCAATTACAAACTCACACATTTTACAGAAACAACAACAAAACTATCAAAATACAGAAATGATGAACCACAGGAAATAAAACAGAAGCAAATTCTGCAAACCTGCTATTTGATATTACTTTTATGTTTTGTAAGTCTGTTTTGACCAGAACAATATTGTTGTTGTGCTTTTTTTTCCTATTTTGCGCATCAAACGTTGCAAGAAACATTTCAGAAAAATAAACTTCCTTTTCATTTGTTGTAAAAGGGGTAAAAAGCCCCCTGAGCTCTGCATGTTGTTCTTCTCCTCCATTTTCAGGCTGTGACGCTTAACGCTTTTATCCCCGCAGGGAACCAGTGCAAACTCTTTCTCTGTTAATTTTCACCCACTCCCCGATTCAGATGAGCCCTTTTCTCCCACCAAAGTCCACAATGAAAGATTTGTCTTCCTCCTCTTTGTCCACCTCTGATATCTTTTTTCGGCTGCTCCCTCTCTTTGCAGACGACATGCAGCGTATGCAAATAAGCACTCCTTTATTCCCTGAATGAATGCAGCCGTAAATGAGGCCACACTCACACAGATTTTTACATGGGGGTTGGGGGGGTTATGGAACGTGCATGCACACATTACTATCCGTAGTTTTGCATGTCCACTCTGACAAGTAATGAGTCAAATACTAGCGACAGAAATCTCTGTTTTATGAACATAACTGCTGAGTTTATACACATAATAACACAAAAAGATCAGTAATAAAGAACAAAATTACAATAAAATGACATGCACTAATTAATTGCAGTGATTTTGTTCCTGCTAAATAAATATTTTATCTAAATTGGTTAGATGATGCTAAATAGACCTTTTAATAAACACTGAGGTCCATCAGGTGTCCTATTAGTCATAAAAATCTATTTTGACCTTGGTGAAAAGAAGTAATAGATTGACTATAATAAAATTAAGGAGGAATAACTTAATCCGAGGGTGAAACAAAACAAAAAACTGGACGATTTAAAGGAAGGAAGTTAATTCTTTTCATCAAACTCCAAAAACAGTGTCAGCTCACAACACAGGAAGAGCTTTTCTCACAAGTGTTTGTCCTCATTCATCGACACACAGACTTTGGTGGGTGTTCAGACGTGTAGACCAAGAGTTGTGCGGCAAGTGGTCCGACAGAATGCACCGAGGAAGAGGAACAGACTGTGGATGTCTGAAGGCCGAAATGAATTACAGCAGCGTCTGATGAACAGAAAGCATTCTCGCTCTCTTTCTCTCTAAGCTAACATTCCCAAGCTGGCCCGTGCCATCTGTGAGTAAGTGTGAATGGCTTTAGGTTTGTGTCTGGGTGTACTGTGAATAGACGTAGGGAAGGTGATGGGGGACGGCGGGGGTTGACGTCTGCTGGACAGCTCTGACAATTTGGCCTTTTCAATCTTACATTACTGAACCGAGCAGCCTCCTTCCCATAGCAACCCTAAGAAAGGTCAAAGGCTATGTACTCCTTGCACACACCACCTCCTCCTCTTCTTCTTGTACTCCAGGGTGACCACAGACGCTCCGAACTCCAAGAGCGGCAGAAGACGCAGGGACTGCACCCATGAACTTGAACTTGACTCCATCTCTGGCAGTGTCTGAATCTTTTTAATTTTTTGTAAAGGCAAGAGTGAGCATCTAAAAAAGGTCACATCAAGGATTTCATGTTAGACTTTTCACCCTATAACCTTATTTCCTGCTCTGCATTAAAGGCTCAGTCCCATAATTCTCCTCTTCCTTCATTGGACTCTCACGCAGGGCCGCCACAGCCTGCAGATGTAATCTGAAAAGCCTCGGATGCAGGAGCATCTCTCCATCTTCCTTTAATATACTTAACATTAGGCTTTGCCCTAGATTGGTCTCAACCAAAGTTGCATAAATGAGACCCAGTGAGCCTCGCTTGACCCACATTGGGCTCCATCTAAGACTAAAGGCGACCTATGAGCCAAGCCTTCTATACATACTATACATACATATATATGTCAGCAGAGCTGTTAAAACATTAATCGTGTCCACACATGGTGAGATGGTAACCCAGGAGCTATGTGGTATTAACATTTTATCGCTACTATGGCTACGCTGCACCCACACAGAAGGAGACATGAATGCCGGCTACTGTCACTTCATCTTGTCATACATTATAATTTCCCTGCACTGAAAATCCCACATAGAAAAAGCAACAATGAACGCCACAGGTAAGAGAGGGAAGAAAGAACGGAGAGGCAATCATCTGTTCCTCTGCCATTTTCTTGACCGGGATATAATTTTTTTTGTCAAATATAGAGTTATGTGCGAGCACAAAGGGTTGAAGGGTGAAGAATGAATATTTAAGTAACGGTGCCTGCACGCTCGGATGTTCACATCCTAAATCCTTCTGACTCGGTGTCAAAGCTGCTGACCTCGCTCTCCAGCCGCTCTGGTTTTAGACTATCTTGATTGAAGACTCTTTGTTGCAGAGCAGATTAAAAACCAGACTGTTAAGCAGTTTTACTCAGTGTAAAACAGAATATTTCAACCTGAGGGAGTTTATACTGATGGCAAAGTCAAAAATGTCCAAGTTATTTCTTCCATGTACTGCAATGAATTTAAAAAAAAAATCATCTTAAGTAAGCTAAATAAAAGGTATCTGTGTTCATTGTTGCAAACCCGAGCTGAATGATGAAGAAATTTTCCTGAAAAATGTGCTCCAGGTCTGTCCACTGTTTGCAAATCAACCTCTGAACACATGCACACTATTCCTGCATGCCCAGACCCTCGCTGCTAAGCAGGGCTTTAGCATGGCACTGCACGAGCTAACATCCTGAGCAGAGAGCCTGCTGCAGCTAGCTCAAACATGGCTGCCCACGTGCTGCACCTGCCACCTCGTTTTCAAACCCTTTTGTCTTTAACGCTTTCCTGAAACGCCAACGTTTAGTTTCATCCTTTAAAACGAGCCTTCTGCTCTGCTGCTTTCCCTCACCAACCAGACAGACTACACAGAAAGCTTTACTCTACATGCTTTCTCTCTCTTCTCCGAATTTGCCCGAAGCGATAAGTCACTGTACATCACAGATGAGCAGCCCCTAATGCAATTATAAAGACTGCTCGGAGTCTTTCACATGAATAAAGAGAGGAAATAGTACTTTGACATGTGGGCCGCGCATGCTTTAGACATCTTGCGGAAGCGCACGTACAGTGAGGCCCATTAATAATCATTATCCGCAGGTTACATCACTCGAGCTTCTCGAGGCGCACCCACCTTAGCTGAGTCATTTCACAAAGATATGGTGCGCCACCAATTGCCCTGTGGGGCTTTAGGATGTGTCTTTTTTACAACCTGACACAAACATGGACACGATTCATGCAGACTGTGTGATTTACTACACGACTATACGTTCACGTGCACCCCATGAATGCCTACTGCCTGGGAAATTCTTCTCATTTAGCGGAAAATGTTGCATCTCCATGTTTTTCAGACATGCAGAGCAGCATGAATAGACTAATGAACAGTCAGGTGGCACTTCAGGGTCTGCACTAACACCCCCACCCCCACCCTCCATCACACACATATCAAACACACGCT